AAAAAAAAAAAAAGCACTTTTGGAAGCCTGCCTGCCTCACCCATCCAAATTTCTAAGAAATGCCAAAGGGCAATTCTATAGTATAGAATATAGATATTCCAGATATTCTGAACATCCCAATAGTTCAGAATACAGGAAACATAAAGAAAGCTCAGGATCACATCAACAAGTCCCCATTCCTGGTTCAAGGACTGACTAAGAACATGGGCTTTGAAGCCAAGTTTCTGGGTTCATATCCCAATCCTTCTGACTTCAGATAAATCACTCAAACTCTGAGCCTGGGTTTCCTTGTATGTTAAAAAAAAATACTGACAGCTGTCTTGGATGTGTGTTTTAAGGACAGAAATGAGATTTTCATACATTAAGCACTTGGCATACTTTGTAGCACATAGTAACGCACTTCATCAACAAAAACTAGTTATTAAACCTTCAGTTGCTAAAGAGACTAATCAAATTAGAAGATCTATTATATTAATCTGTGTGATACCAAATATATCTCAAGTACATGTTTTATCTGTTTTCAGCTTGAGACAAAGTCACAAAGTTTCTGAGCAGAAAGGGAGCCTCTGAACTACTGCTTCTTCACAAACTTTAATTTCGTACAAATCAGAGGGTCTTGTTAAAATGCAGACTCTGATTCAGGAGGTTTGGAGAGGCCCAGGATTCTGCAATTCTATTTATTTATTTATTTATTTATTTATTGTCTTTTTTTTTGTGACCGGCCGTGCTCAGCCAGTGAGCGCACCAGCCATCACCTATAAAGGATCCGAACCCGCGGCGGGAGCGCTGCTGCGCTCCCAGCACCGCACTCTCCCAAGTGTGCCACGGGGCCGGCCCTGCAATTCTAACCAGCTCTCAGGTGATGCTGCTTGCTGGTCCGAGGACCCCAGTTTGGGTGGTAAGGCTCTAGTCTGGGAAGGAGGTTCTCACCTTGGCTGCACATTGGAATCTCCCGGGGACTGTTAAAACACCACAATGCCTGGTCCCACCTCCAGATAATCTAATGCAGAGTCTCTTAATCTTGACATCGACTGACGTTTTAGGCCAGATAATTCTTTGCTGTAGGGTGTAGCAGTATCCCTTGCCTCTACCCCAGTTGAAAACCACAGTTCTAATTTAACTGGCCTGGGATGGTGACAAGGCAACAGGACTTTAAAAAGCTCCCCAGGTGACATTTCTCTCCTGTCCGTGGACATCAGAGCTTGGGACTCTTCAGCTTTTGGGTTCTAGGACTTACACCAAGGACACCATCTGCTTCCATGGTTTGAGGCCTTTGGACTTGGACCGAGCCATACTACTGGCATCCAGTTTATAGACGGCCTATGGTGGGACTTTTCTTCATAGCCATGTGAGATAGCTTGGGCCGCCGCCACCAGAGGAGCGGCCGTCTATTGTCTTTCCCCGCGGCGAAAGTGCGGAGCTGCTCCGGCTCAGCCCGTGAGGGAGCCCCAGGAGCCGCAGGGAAGTTCCAAGGTGGTCTGTGAAACCCTGCCACGATGAATAAACATCAAAGAAAAGACACCAGAAATACAAAAACCAAGAAAGTACACCACCCAAAGATAATAAATCTCAAGCTCTAGACCCTATAGAAAAGAAGTCCTCGAAATGACTGACAAGGAATTTTGAGTGATAATTCTAAGGAAACTGAATGCGATACAAGAAA